TGGTTTCCTCCAGCCCGGAGCGGCTACAGCGTATAAAACGCGATGTGGTAGATGGACATATGCAATACGTGCCGTAGCCAGCAAAGTCTACTAGTCTGAATTTGATGTACCAGCAGGTTTATCCCTAATAGACTTCCAAACACACGACGGTTTACCTCCAGATTACTAACCCGAACACCATCCGATGCGGGCTGAACTATGTAAACACCGACAGGCGAAAACCTCTAGTCGATGGACATCTACTCGCAAATTCCAGGTCTCACAACCATAAAGCAGGACTGAACGAACGCTAGCACATTATACACGACCTTTCAACTTCAGTGAGACATCGTGTCTACGCCAAAGGTGCCTCAGTCCTGCGTGCGCTGCCCGAGGCTTGGAAATCAGAGCGGTTGTGTCCTTTACTGCGCTTCTGTCATTGGTCACGTAACGATCCAAGTACGAAAAGTAATCCACTATGATGAATTCCTGACCATTTAATTTCAAAGCGGGAGTAGGCGACACCCAGTCTTGCAGCATCACTTTTCACTTTGAAGGTGCGAAGCACATACCGAATGTGGCAAACGCACTTGTTAGCCTATCAAGTGTGCTTTGCGCGTCCTCCATATATTCGAACAGGCAGACGATGTCATCGGCGTACTCCAAATATCATACATCCAGTTCCCTTAACAAACTTCATCACGGTCAGGAAGAACCACATTTCAGCAGGTACTCCAAATCGCACAGCTTTTCTCCAGCTGCCCATTCAATACCAACGTTTTGGAGAGCGCTTAGTGCGTTCTCCAGTATTTCGTTTAAGACGAAATTGAGCAGGAACGGTGGTAGAGGGCACTCTTGACGAACGGGCCTACTTAGCTCCTTGTAAACCCTCACTCGACCAGAGACATGGCGATCTCCAACTGCTCTAATTATTCTGCGTAAAATAGAACGCAGATCAAAGAGAGAACCATTGTCGGCAAAGCAAGCAGCTGCTAGTTGAGTGTGTGTATACTAAGCAAGCACAAACAGTACTCAGAATTTCAGTGGACATATTTCTTCACTGAGTAGTGGAAAAGTTGGACCAACTTATACTCTAGGTGGTAGATGACTCTGTTGTTGCTCGGCCCACTTCCGTACCTACTTTATTAGTCTCTTGTGTGGTTCACAATCATGACTGTCAATTTTCTTCTCATTTTATGGATTAGAACAATTTACAATCAAGATAACTTTCGCTTGCTATGCACTAGCAAAACAATCACGAAATCATCACTAACATTTACGGATTGAGCCGCGACATTGATCCGGTGCCAAGTGGTTATGTCACCAAATTGTGACCCGAAAGTTCCGGGTTCGAACCGCTCCATCGCCTCCCGTCTTCCCCATTTGTGTATTTCCCCAGGTAGCCGTTGTATGGCCGCAGCCCCCTTCCTGTGGGCTGTGCATTTGTATATTCAATAAACAAAAAAGGAAGTAAAAAATACATCAAAAATTACATCATAATCATCAATTTTTCCACTTTTTTTCTAGCCTTCTTTTGACTTGAGCTCATCTAGTTCTCGTCAGACTTTTCAACCAAGAACTTCAGCTGATGTGGGTGAAGCTTCCACCTAGTCCTTTAAATTATAACTTGTTACTTATTTTGTTCTTCTTGGTCGACGATCCTCTTATAATACACAACCTACAGTCGCTAGCCCATCGTCGCGTAGTCGCTCCTGTCTCTTCTCCAACCGTTATTTCTGCTTGTTGTTTTTCGGAGCTCGCCCCTAATGGTTTCTGTTTCCGTAGCTTTTGTGCACCTATCCTGTATACAGGCAGCTAGGTATCCCTGATAGATTTCTCTCCAGATAAACTGTTCTCTATTTTTCTCCCAAAACGTTAAACTACAGACCACTCCTACTCTGTCTTGTCGTCTACCTACAACCTTTCATTGCTAAAACGCAGAACCAATGATTTACGTGGACGTTTCGGGTTGATGTTCAAAAGATTCCATAACCGGGTGGTTGGAGACACGGAAGGTCATGGCAGTAAACCGACAGCAATGAAAATCTTACTGCCACTTCTTATTAAACCAGAATGCTTGAAATAGTATGTATGCGCAGTTTGACTGTACTCTCTGTATTGACTATAGAGGTTCGCTTTCTTTTCCCGTCCCTAAAAATAGGTCCAAGCCCTATCTTCCTTACACATTCTCACTTAAATTGTATGCATTATGAATTTGGCAACAATCGGTGAAGCTCGTCTTACTGTATTACGCTGTACAATCATGATGATGGTGATGATCAATGTTGGTTTTGGTTTAGTGGATAGTGTGACAGATGAGGGGGCCGTGGAGGTTGCGTCATCAGCAAATAATAAGTTAGGTTGATAGGTTTGGAACGGAAGCCATTGATAAATAGAAGAAAGATGGGTGCAATTATTGCACCTTAGGGAATATCCGTATTCACAGGNAGAGGTTCGCTTTCTTTTCCCGTCCCTAAAAATAGGTCCAAGCCCTACCTTCCTTACACATTCTCACTTAAATTGTATGCATTTGGTAACGATCGGTGAAGCTCGCCTCACTGTATTACGCTGTACAATGATGATGATTATGTTGATGTTTTTCTACACCCCCTTGCCAGCTTTGTGATTATGTGGCTCACCCGTTACACTGTAAATCACATGTAACAAACAGACTAGATCATGGAACCCGCATAGCCTATGCTACTGTGACAGAGCCGTCATCAACCAGAGTGTGGACTAAACCTAACAGCATGCTACAGACATTCGATAGTGAATGCCATGATATGACGGCAAGCTGTCATACATAAGTACCATAAAGCATATTTTCGAAGACTGTCATGAATTGGAGAGAAACAATGAAAAACGAAACAAAGTATCCTCTCATTGACACACGCAACGGACACTGACCGCCTCCGTATTCCAAATATAAACACACTACTGGCGGTAAATTATCGTTCAAGACGCAGTGACGGAATGAACGCGAATCGGTAGTCATTAGTAACAAGACACAAGGAATTCCAAATTAGTTGGTTTTAATCAACCAAGATAATGGAAGCAATGGCGAAAGGGAGACGGCTTTGCCGTATGTGGACGAATTTGTTAATCAGTTAAATGCAGTGTAAATCGACCTGGAGCAACTCACAGATTGTGGACTGGGACCGGACAGCAAACTACTTTACGAGAACTGTAATCCGAACGGTGGGATAAAATGCTATACAGTGTAAAGCATGAACAAAGTAACCGGATGTGTGTAGAAATAACCATAAGAGAAAGGATGTTATATATATACAGACGCTGAACATACTAGTTGACTGATATGAGATAAATGCCGCAAAACAGTGAATGTACCTGTGATGACAGGTAGATTGAGCATCGTGCTAAAGAAGTGATAGATTGGAGATTCTCTCTAATTATGAGACAGTGATGCCCTACAGATGGTATTGCTTCTGTACAAAGTAGAAAAAAGGAAACAAGTGAATTCGGCCGGGGGACACCTAAGCACGGGAATCCATCGTGGAAACCAGTTCGTGTTGAAATGCAAATTACCAGATAGAAAACGAACTAAGGCCATTAGATGAGCGGTCTGCCTAGACGTGGGAGTGGATTCTAAAGGCAAGTGACAGAAAAGAATACTGAATCACCCAGACCGATCTTCCTGGGAGTAGAACTGAGATCTTGGGAATGCGTCGACCAAATGGAAGGAAGCACTTGAATGTCACATGAAATCAAGTGGGTCTGGCAGGAGTGGCCAGAAACAAGACGCACAGACGTATAGTCGCCACACAAATGAATGGGCTAAGTGCGAGTAGTGAGGAGCTCTGGTGACTGGGATGCTATCGTGCTCGTTGAATCTTGAGGGAAACACGTCTTCTTGTGATAGTAAAACGAAGCACCCCATCGATATCGCTTTCCACAAGTTGGACATAAATATTTTCCCTCCGCACGGTGCTTGCCGTCAACATGTTGTTTTAATGATAGCTTTGAATTAAAATCTTTCCCACAAATTGAGCAAGTGAATATTCCATTGACACCGGAGGGTTGATGAAGTGAAAGATCTCGAACAGCTGGTTTTTCGGGAGTGGCTGTGCCGTTTTCCTCCGATTTAATCAGTAAAGACTGGGTAGATAAATCCAAACCCATATTTAAACCGGGAAGTAATACCTGAGGTGCCAAATTCTCCAAGACGGTGGAAGCGGACAGCATGCTTGAACAGACCTTTGCATGCTCGAGGTAGGAAGGTAGAGTGAGGAAGACTTCTGAACATATACAAGGGAACTTGCAGGGGGGCACTGAACCGTTCAGGAGAGGAGGTATGACACTGGAAGCATGATTAGAGTTGGGAATCGTCATGCCATGTATATTCATGAACTGAGCTAACGTTTTTTGAGCAAGTGCAACCTGTTCTGTGGAAACATTAGGATCCTCAGTCTTAAACGGTGATTCCTCTGAACTGTTGCACTCGTGATTCGCATCGGACCCGGAGTTGTTGTGCAACGGACGTTTCTTGCATTTTTGCTTGTGGTGATAATAAACAGGAGGCCAACGATAAACATTACCACACCATCGACACTTATACCTTGGTGGATAATGAAGGTGCATGTGTTGATCTAACAGCGATTTGCTTTTGAAGCCTTTAGTACACTTTGGACAACCGTATGGCTTGTCTTCGGAGGGCCCAGCGATGGGGGAAACGGAGGGATGACGATAAGAATAATAGGTTTCGTAGGAACTACTGTCTCCATTCTCAACACCATCGTCTGTCACTATTTCGCTGGGCGGATCATATTCTGCATGCCGCCTTTTTCCTTTTCTTTTGTTTATTGAATCCCTTCGTGTATCTTGTAAATCTGTGGCCGCTACGGGGCAATCGATATAATGCCGCAGAAAGTCCGGCAATCGAGCATACGAGTCACCGCAAGTGCAAGAAAAACTGCCCTTTTCAGCGTGAGAATTTTCAAAGTGTTCACATAATTCTTCCGATGACGAACTGACAAATTTACATTCAGGACATATCTTCGCATTCGAACGATCTGGGGAGGTTCCTGGGACAACAGCACCTTCGGGTAGACTGCAGACATGATGACCATGAGCGAAAAATTGACTAACAAACCTTAGCTCATTCATTCCATGAGATTCCACATGACTGAGTAATCGCGACAGAAAATCACTGTCCGTTAACTCCGAATGGTTATAACTTCTTTTGAGTGCATGAAATCTTTCGTAAACATCAGAATCCACGTTGAGCTGCATCACTTAACATGTAATATAGCAGCTTTTATAGAAATCATATGCATTTAT